GGGCGAGATCTCTGCTAAGGCGGAAACACCTCCGGAATTCCCTTTCGGGCATATGAAAGGCATTATATTCATCTCGCAAGGTTATCCTTTCCCATCTTAATTGCTCTTCATGCCTCGTCCACAAAATGCATGAATATAGGATCCATGATTGCACTGATAAATTGTAACTAATAGTCAAAAATAAACAATGCAGGACAAAATAAATTTAATCACTCGCTTAGACAAATTCACTTTAAATTCGCGAATCTTTAGAACATAGAACAATGCTTATATCGATAATTAAAAATAATCAATAACAATGTGATATTGACATTGAACAGTTGATCACAGCTGACAACTTAAAACACCAAAAAAAATAATGAAACTCGCTAGAAAAGCGCAGTGTTTTCACGTCGAATAGTTTACGATATTTCTATTTCGACTGCACCCGAATCAACTTGGAAAGATGCTTACAGAATTAATTTTTTATATTTCCTGTATATGTCTATCTCTTCTTTATGTCTATTTCTATTCTTTTGCAGAATACGCCTCCAGTCAGCCCGCACCACCTACGTTCATCCAGATGTGTAGATAACAACACATGTGTTCATGGCGGAATATTGAAAAAATGAAGAACATCTATTTATTAGAAAACACAGAAAAATGGAAATAAAGGAGCGATAGAAAATAGCAAAATTTTCTTAAATTGAAAGTACCCAACAAAAGAGACCAAAACTGAAATACAACATAAAAAGCAAGTAAGCCAGAGATGGGGGGCAACTGCCCTCCTTGCAACAACTTCTGAATTTACACTTTGGAGGTTCTAGAGACCTCTCAGCTATTATCCATGACCTCCAACGACTCAAACAACTAGGTACCTGGCGAGTCTCCTCTTACTTTCTACAACAGACTCCAAGTACTGAATGCAAAAATGCATTCTTATATCCAAAAGTCACCACACCTCAAAACAGTAGATCAAAAAAAAGCACAGTCCTCCCTTGTGGAATCTATGGCCCTAAACACTCTTCTTACAGGCCTAGAACCTCGCCTTGGCCAGATTATCAGAGCTGGAAACCCACACTCTCTTTTAGATGCTCAATGTAGAATCAGGATAGAAATCCAATTTTCCTATTTTGAGAATCAGAAGACTCCAAAACCTCCTGTTCAAGAGGTTTTGATCAACAAACCAGAATAATCCATAAAATGCTTTTCTGGGGGAAGAATTGGCCACGCAGCCAATCAATGTAGAGAACAAGTTTCCAGTCGTTTAAACTTCACTCAATACCCAAATCAAAATGTCCAGAAAACGAGAACAGCTAACTACTCAGGCACCGCAAACCAACAACAAACAACCAATGTTCTGCAAAAAGAAACCCAAAATGTTTCTACTTCGAAACAATTCGTACCAAGATACGCTTCAACTACCCCTCAAAGAAATCCCAATTTTTACCCTAACCAGCAAAAAACTTATCTTTGAAATGATTCCTCTAATGAAACATATGCCAACGAATTTGAGTACGCTGAAAGCCCTCATTATGCACATGATGCTAGTTATGAAGAAAACGAATATGCTGAACAGTTCACTACTGATCCGAACGCTGAAAATTATCAGAATTTTCTGGTACCTTTCACCAATCACAATCCGCCAGAGAATACCCCTCAAGATCACACTTCGAATATTGAGACTCAAATACAACTTCTGAATCTATAAATTCAGATTACTTATTAATACAGGTGCAGGCATTTCAATTTTTAAAGAAAATACTGTCCATAAATTCCCCTATCGTTCCGAAGAAAATGTAACCATTCAAGGTGTCACCGATCAAAAACTCCAGATCCGTGAATCAACACTTGTACCGTTCACCCTCCAAGATCCTCACAAAGTGTATATTTACAACTTGAATATTGATTTCGATGGAATTTTAGGGTTGGATTTAAAAGAACATTATCAATGTATGATAGATTTAAAAGCTAAAGAACTTGTAGCTATTTTCAAAACTATCCGTCTTCATAAAGTTACTGTCACTGAAGATGACTACTCTAATAATGCAAAACCAAACAACACTCAAACAATTCTTGACAAAATATCTATAGATTCTAGAAGTGAAAAGATCTTTAAACTCAAGTGTAATCTATCCAACACAGATGATTTACTCTTTTCTCAAGAAAAAGAAAAAGTCAAATTACCTAATGCTTTAGTAAAAGTCAATGAACAAGGTGAATTTTTAACCTCAATTTTAAATATTAACGCTATAGAAAAACCCGTGGAGTTTTCGAACTTGTCTATCGAACCATTTGTCTCAGAAAGTGAAACTCAAAAAACCATTCTGTTTTAACTAACCTCGAATATCACGATACTTATTATAGGCAAATGTCCATACAAAATGAACTTCGTACAGAACATTTAAACGACGAAGAAAAAGAACTAATTACTAACTTATACCTGAACTTTTCCGACATTTTCTACCTGGAAGGTGACACGCTCACATTTACTAGTGAGATCAAACACCCTATTGACACCAATAATGCAAAGCCTGTGTATACCAAATCTTACAGGTACCCCCAAATCCACAAAGAAGAAGTCAATTCCGAAGTTACCAAAATGCTAGATCAAAGCATAATTCGCTATTCTGTATATCCATGGTCTTCTCCCGTCTGGGTCGTTCCTAAGAAACTTGATGCTTCTTGCAAACCCAAATGGCCCGTAGTAATCGACTACCGTAAAGTCAACGGACTTACTGTAGACGACAAATACCCGCTGCCTAATATTTCCGATCTTCTGGATCAATTGGAAAATGTCAATATTTTACCACCCTTGACCTAGCCTAGCCTCAGGTTTTCACCAAATAGAAGTAGACCCCAAAGATGTTTCGAAAACCGCTTTTTCCGTAGAAAATGGCCATTACGAATTCGTAGGTATGCCATTTGGATTGAAAAATGCCCCGTCAGCATTCCAAAGAGTCATGGACAATATTCTCCTCGGCATTCAAAACGAAAGATGCTTAGTCTACATGGACGATATTATCGTTAACTCTCCCACCATCCACGAACATATTTCAAGGCTAACCGACGTTTTTAAACGCCTCCGTAAAGCTAACTTAAAAATCCAGTCGGACAAATGTGATTTTCTTCGAAAAGAAGTAGCTTACCTGGGATACCTTATCACTCAAGAAGGTGTAAAACCAAACCCTGTAAAAATTATTTGTATTCAGAACTTCCCCACACCCAAAAATCCAAAAGACATTAAATCCTTTCTAGGATTAGCAGGATATTATCGTCGATTTATCCCCAATTTTGCTAAAACATCAAAGCCCTTGACAAAACTCCTCCAGAAAGATGTCCATTTCACTTTAACAGAATGCATATCCGCATTCAGCGAATTGAAAAACGCACTAGTTTCTGACCCGATTTTGATCTATCCCAATTTCGAAGAGATATTTCTATTAACCACCGACGCAAGCGCTTTTGCCATCGGTGCAGTTTTGTCACACGGCCCTGTAGGATCTCCCTATAGCCTATGCCTCTCGAACGCTGTGCAATGCCGAAACTGAATACTCTACCATAGAGAGAGAATTACTGGCCATAGTATAGGCAGTTAAACATATTAGACCTTATCTCTTTGGTCGAAAATTTGTCCTTATCACAGACCATCGCACTTTAACTTGGCTTTTCTCAATTAAAGACCTTGGAAGTCGTTTAGCTCGCTGGCGCTTGAAACTTGAAGAATATGACTATCGAATCGAGTATAAACCTGGAAAAATCAATAAGAACGCTGATGCCCTATCTCGAATAAAAGTAAACCACTTCAAAGATTGTTCAGATTTAAGTTCCAAAATTCACATACTCGACAAGTATCAAAAAAATATTGTAACGTTCTTTTGGCAAACCAAACTAACAGACTTACATTACAAACTTATAGAATAGATGATCTATTCGAGGAAAATTTCGATTTTCAACCTATTCAGGTTATCATTTTACCCAGCAAACCTGTGAAGGCACGCAAATAGTTCATAATTCCCATTCCTTGCAAAAATAAGAAAATAGTCCATACCCTCTTTCACACGCTTTTCAAGTGTTAGAACGAATTTGACCCTGAAAAAACCTTTTGCATAGAAAACAATCTAGAATTACCTATTCTTGAAATATTTTCCTTTATATTTGCCGAGAAAGACATTAAGCTTAAGATATGCCAAAATATTATCAAAACCCCAGATCAAGACCAAATCCCAATTATCCTGGATCAATATCATACTGGAAAAACAAATTTACATAGTGGAATCAATGAAACCGTTAGAGGGATTAAAGACAAATACTCCTGGCAAGGTTTAACCAAAGATGTTGAGAAATTCATCAGAGCCTGTGAAATCTGCCAAAAAGTCAAAATCTGTTAGAAAAATCTTAGTTCTCCTCTCGTTATCACTGAAACTTTCAAAACACGATTTGAAAGGATGAACATTGACCTTTTTGAATTCCCAGTTCGTAACTACGTCCTAACAGTTTGGCATGAACTTACCAAATTCACTCAAGCTTACCTAATCAGACAAAAATGCGTCCACAATTGTTAACACTCTACTAGTATTCTTCCAACATTACGGTACACCTTGAAGAATTCACTGTGATTGTGGAGGTGAACGCCTTACTCAAAGACCTCTGTCAACTCTACGACATAAAATTGATATTTTCAAGCGTAAGCCACCCACAATCCAACGGATCGCTGGAAAGATTCCATGCAACTTTAAGGGCGGCTTCTCATGAGCGTAATTTGACATTTATGGCGTGACAGCGTACCTGAATGCAGAATTCTGATTTGCCAGAATTCCGCCATATTGGATACGCTGACGTTCTGCCGCGGATACGCCAAAAGTTGAGCAAAGCTCAACTTTTCGCGTAGAAATTTAGCGTTTTTGAAGTTATTGTTATTGTTGTTGTTATTGTGTAAAAAATTATTATCATGAGCGAGGCAAGTAGAACCCTGGATTTTCATCAATAAGGCGTTCACTAGCATTTTATAACTTTTGTAGATTAACCAATACAAGTTTGGGTATTGCGGTTTTTTCATAAATTCAGAATGTGAAAATCTGTTAGAGCATCAGTGCTTTATAGATTTTTTCAATGAGGAAGATCATGAATTGATGACTGATGATAATAATGTTTTAACTGTTGGTAAGTAATATAGGTACTGGAAAACATATTTATTTCAAACATTTAAATTGATATCTACCTGTATCACAGAATATTTTCTGTGTCTGCAGGTGCCGATGGGCCGGCAGGGATTTTGGGAAGATTCCGGAAGAGCCGCTTGCTTCCGGGTCGGTTGCTCCGGCCCGGAAGCATATACAGGGGTCCCAGGAAAAACAGTCCACCCCGATTTTTTTTATTTGAAATGAAAATCTGCTTTCTCGGCATCCGCCCTTGTGTGTCTGTATATTTATCCACCGAATGAATTATTGTAAGTTATTGTTTTGTTTTCAGTCATGAAGAATACCGGAACAAAAGTGTCGAAAGCTAACTCTCTTTACATAAATTCAATAGGTTGGGAAGAACATTTTATTAGTCTTGTACAAGAAAGGCCAGGCTTATATAATATGGGCTTGCCTGTGCTACAAAGAACAAATGCCAAAAAGCTCCAACTCTGGAGTGAAATTTCCAATATATTTGGAAATAAAATTTCGGCAGATGAACTGGCCAAAAAGTGGAAATATTTCAGAGACTGCTACATAAGAGCAAAAAAAAAAAAAAATGTCTATCAGACTAGTAGCTCAGGAGCCATGCCTTTACCTGATCCAGGGTTTAGGCATTACTACCTAATGAAATTTATAGATGACGGGGAAAGTCAACAGACGTAAGTTCTAAATCATTCCTTATTTTTAATGTGTTTTAAGTTATATTTATTATTTTATCCAGGACAATTTCGTCTGTGGCCACAACTCCCACCAGCATTAAAATTGCGATACCAGGAACATCTGGCTCAAGTACCCCAATGCCAGGAACGCTTCGTACAAGCCCAGCAATACCTCGCACAAGCCCAGCAATACCTTGCACAAGCCCAGCAATAGCGTCGTCGAATGACTTGTTTTGCCCTACGGGTGTCCCTACATTAAAGAGTGAGTGAATATTCTGAATTCCACATTAAGGTGATGGCAATAAAGCTATTTGGCAGTAAATAGTGGTTACATAATTGTACTTATTTAAAATAAAAAATAGCCTTTTATAAGAAGCATACACAAAAACTTCTTTACACTTGAAATCTCTTAAATATATTCGTTGTACGTTATACCTAAAAAATTTAAAACCACATTACCAGCTTCAATTGGCTATAAAGCATTTATTTGTTACTCTTTTCTGTGGTTAGTATTGGGTCTTCCAAAAAAAAACCATTCAAAAATTGCTATGGTTTTTTAAACGTATGTCTTAGCAATATTTTTCTTTACTTTTGTAAATGAACTTTAATGTCAAAATGCCATGTTAAAAATCTTGACCAATAAAGAAACAATAGGTCGGTTTCTGCAGAAATCACAAACCAGTCGGATTGATTTTCATTGGTTGAGGCTAGTTTTCTGACTGTTTTCAACCAATGAAATTCGCTCTGACTGGTTTGTGATTTCTGCAGAAACAGATTTAATGGGTCTGTTTCTGCAGAAATCACAAACCAATCAGAGTGAATTTCATTGGTTGAAACTAGTTTTCTGACTGTTCTCAACTAATGAAATTCACTCTGACTGGTTTGTAATTTCTGCAGAAACAGACCTAATAATGTGATGTACGTTTTTGTAATTAAAGCAATTTTTGATAGTTTTTTTTCTGAAAGCCCGTTACAAAAGCAGTGCGTATTTATTTATTTTTTGTAGAGAGAAGAAAAGAAGAAAAAAAGAGAAGATTTGGAATGCCAGATTTTGGAAGCATTTTCCAGCTCAAAATCCCAAGGCATGGATGGGGATGATGGCTTTCTAATGAGAATTGGGGAGAGCCTAAGAAAAATGCCATACAGAGAGAGGGCTTGTTTAGAAATTAAGTTTATGCAGCTGATTCAAGAGACAGAGGAAAGGCTGTATAATTGAATGCAATGGGACCTAATTCCTTTTCATGTGATCAGAATAAAACTATTTTTTAATTAATACTGGATATTTATTTCAACTCGAACATATTATACTTTAAAAATCATTATTTATTGCTTTCTCCCACTGCCAGTCCACTGCTCCTGTCCTACAAAAATAATCTGTGAATTTTTCTCTAATATTTGCAGCATTTCTTGAATACATGTTTGAACTACAACTATTGAAATCATCTAAACCTTTACAAGGCTCAATATTTGTGTCACTTAGAGCAGTCAAGTTTTCCCTGCCGCAGCCCTTTCCTTTTTTCCCTAACAGTTAGTTATGTAAACAAACACAAGCCTGTACTATTTTGCGGACTGTGGTCTCATTTGCGATTATTGGTTCCCTGAAAATTCTCCATACAGAAGCGTATATTCCACATGAACTTTCAACTATTCTTCTCGCCCTGCTCAACCGATAGTTGAAAACTTTTTTTCTGACATCTTAATTTCCTCTTCGTGGATATGGCCTCATCATATAATTTGTTAACGGAAATGCCTCGTCAGCAACCATAACATAGGGCAACTCATTAGAAGAAGGTATATCAAATATGTTTGATTGAAATCCGTGACCTATTGGACTTTCTTTAAAAATTCCACTATCACTTCTTCTACCTTCTGCACCAATGTCGACCATAATGAATTGATATTTTGCATCGGAATGTGTTCCTTTAAAATTATAATTTTTTGATCCACAATTAGGGAAGGCCTGCAAAAAAATAATTTTTATCATATTAAAAATATAAGTTATTATCTATAATGTCATTATTACTCTTTTAAATATTAACTTACTTGTATTACAACATGCTTTCCGTCAATGGCCCAATACAATTTTTGAAATTCCATAAACCCTCAAATTCTTCAGCAATTTTTTTCCAATTTTCTTCTGAATGCTTCATGAAAACCTTGTTTTTCAAAGTGTCCCAGATAGCTTGACAGGTGGTGGCAATTATTTCTGATACAGTGGATTGCCCAACTCGAAACAAATATGAAAGTGATACCATACTGTCTCCGGAAGCTAAGTATCTTAACGTTAGTTCTAATCTGGATTTGGCACATATCGGTGCTCTGACCCAATCTTGTTTTTCTATGTGGGGCCTTACAATACCTAGCAATTCGTCAAACATTTCAGAGAGAAAATTAAAATATTTTTCTCGATCTCCAGACCTCATTTCGTCAATCAAATTTTTACTAGCGCCTTGTAAAAATCTCTGCTCTGTCGTGAAAATATCTCTGACCCATTATTCTCTTCTTGAGTTTTCTTTTTCAAGCTCCTGTAGTTTTTTGAAAATTATATCCAATTTTTTCAATCGTTCCAATGATTGTTTTCTATGGTTCAGGCGTACGGTTCTATGTTCGATCGTTAAAGCTCCGATCATACTTAAAAGTAATTTACTGTCCATATTTTTCTGATTAATTGGAAATAAAGCCAAGACAATTACAAATGTGTACAGTCAAAACTCAAAGAAATATTTCAAAGTTTAGAAAAACAATAGAATTTTGACATACGCGGCGTAAATTCTCCACTCCATGTGAATGTTGCGCCAAAATTCACGTATTTAGCATTTGCGCCAGTTATGTCAAGTTTACGCTCATGAGAAGCCGGCCTAATGGAGATGATCCGCGTTCATAAAGCGGAACATCCAGATGAACACCCATTCAATATTCTCCCTTACGCAGTTATTTGTGATAATAATACCAAAAATAAGACACACGGATTCACACCTTTCGAATTGATCTTTGGCCATACGTCGAATAGACCCCCTGAGACTCTTTATTATCAAAAACAGCTAATCTCCAAATACATACGACACCTCAACAACAGAATGGAATATTATTACAGAATGGCTCGAGCCAGAACCGATATCCAGAAAAAAAAGTCGAAAGTAAGGTTCCACAAGAAGGTCTCACAAAATCTTCCAGAATATAAAGCAGGTGACAAGGCGTATGTCAAAGAAACTCAAATAAAAGACAAAGCTCAAAATCCTTTTAACGGACCTTTCGAAATAATTGAAGTTTACAGAAACTCAACGAAAGTGAAAAACCTCAAAGCAAATCAATTCTCGAAATTTAACTTTGATAGACTTAAGCCGTTCTATGACTAGTCTATTCTTTTCCAGACTCGTCGGGCTGATTCCAGTCGTCACCCCTCAATTTCTTCTAGCTCCAATTAACAACACGGTTGGAATATTCTATCACGAAGAAGGTAGTCTTAGAGTCTCAAATCTCTTAGAGTTTCAAATTTACAAAGAAATAGAATTATTCAGAGAAACTATCCAGAACAATAAAAAGATTCTCACTAGCCTGACCAAAATAGTTGATGAACCTTCTCCTCGAAAGACAGCCTTCAAAGTTGAAGTTCAAACTCATTTCAGCCTCTTAACTTAAGTTGCTGATTCAGTCGACCAGAAAATTAATGAAATCACTGGCAACACAAGCTATAGAAGCAAACGTCGACTAATTACCGGCATAGGAAGTATCTTTGAATCAATCACCGGAAACTTAGACTCTACCGATGGTGAATACTTCAATAAATGTATTGACAAAATAAATACAGACGAACGAGAACTTGAAAATTTACTTACAAACCAAATTTCTGTAACCACCTCGGTGATAAAAAATTTTAATTCTTCACTATTCAGGAACTTCAAATCAATGAAGAAACATCGATATAGCAGAAATCAGAGAATTCATATCTGACATTTCGAAGGATTTAAAGTTTTACGAAGCCCAAACCAGAACTCTTAAACCTCTGTGAATCATTAATGGAAAGTTACGTCTTTCTGGAAAATGCCCTCAATGACATTCTAGAAGCAATCCCATTTGCACGTTTAAAGATCTTACATACCTCAATTATAACTTCTAGAGACTTGGTCGCCTCCTTACAAGAAATATCGCGCTCTTTACCCAAAAATAACCTTCCTTTACCTACATATCTTCCATATGTAGCACGATACCTGGATATAATTGATTTAGAAGCTTATCAATCAGAAGGTGAAATTGTCTTTATTTTTAGAATACCGCTGATCGAACCTGAGATATACACTCCTTATCACGCCTACCCTATCCCGATTTTGGATAATCGAAGCAGGTTTTCATCATATTTTACCAATAACTCAAAAACATATCGCGAGAGATGAGGATTCTTTATTGTACATATTACTCCAAAGCCTGGATCACAGCAAACCTCCTGATAATAACACAAGGATATGTTCTGACCTTCTACAATACCCTATGTACAGCGATGCCATTTGCGAAGCCCAACTACTGAAGTCAACAGGGACACTTCCCAAGACTTGCCAAACCTCAATCTTACTCGCTAGTGACTACAATGTGCAAGAACTAGATACAAACTACTGGCTCATAACATTATCATCGCCCCTTCCAATCACTATCAGAGGTGATGGCAAAAACAGTGTGACAGAAACAATCGACACCAACACAGTGCTCAAGCTCCAACCAACACACAATGCCTTTGTAGAAAACTCCAGAATTCATGCTAGGCGTCTAGCAGAAAAATACAGAAACGTCACCTATAAAAGCCATTCAGTGGAAATTCCCTATGACTGCTTCAAACGCCTGCCGGTGAATCTTCATGTGCCAGACTTGAAACCTCTTAAACTATCTAAAATCAACATCGATGATCTAAACGTGGCACAGCATAGACTTAACCAATTTTCCGAGGAACTGGATAAACTAACTCAAGAACCATTCGTATCAAGACACAGTCAATGGTTCACAACACAGTACAATAGCAGCCCTTGTTATCATTTAAAATTGTTGTATTGTCGGCGAAAGCCACTCCCTAAACCTAGCCCTATCGACGGAGGCGAACCACCAACGGAACATGTCATGCCAAGAACTGCTCCATCGTTGCAACGCTTCCATAGAAACAGCAAGATCAACATATTTTAAAATATAAAAGACTGTCTCTTTAGTTTAAGTCGTCATTATTAAGTTTGTTAACTTAATGTCCAATATAATTGTAACCTGTATTTTAAAATAGATTAGTGTTTTTTTTTAAAAAGTGTCTTCAAGAGTTTTTGAGATAACAGGTATAGCCTTATACTAAGCATCATATACTTGAATTGTCGAACCGGCCCTTAATCAAAGGACATGGCACTAAATATTAGAATCCTGGTGATCGGCCGATTTTTTTAAAACTGCAGTATGTTATTCTATACCTGAAAACAAGCATTTCTGCTTATGGTCACTTCTTTGTACGAGTATGGGATGACCCAGAAAATTGAGTTCAAAGTTTGTATATGAAATATTTTCTTTAAGCATAAACTTATGTTTAGCCGTTATTTAACTGATCTGTTATGTGATTTTGCATTTTATACATTAAAGACAAAGCTATTTATGTAGTTAAGGACAAAAATTATTATACAGGGTGTCTCAAAAATTATATTTTAAACCAAACTACTCTCTAAAGAAAGCCAATAACCAAAACAACTGCTACAAAACTATATTAACCTTAAATATCAATAATAACTACAAACATTGTAACAATGATCACCAGAGACTATTTGAAGTAGCTGCTGTTCCCTGGAAACGATTTGGATTTAATACTGTAGAAATAGATCAACAAATACAAAAATATGCCATATAGGCCCAGTTTCACAATTGGTGGTAACCTGCACTGGCTATCGGACTCATATTTGCGGGTTGACTACATGGAATATTCTGAAGCTTGACCAAAGGTTTTGGCTAAACCACACATCATGAAACAGATATATTGTAGGTTACCAGTATCTTGTGTTTACCGTTAAGTTACAAATGTTTGTGAAACTGGCCCTAACTGTGTTGTTAATACAACAGACCAATACATATTCAAAATCACTAAACCGATACATCAAACATTTAATATAAAAACTTTGAACTCAATTTTTTTAACCGTTATTTTGGTTATTGGCTTTCTTTAGAGTGTAGTTTGGTTTAAAATAAAATTGTTGAGACACCCTGTATAATAATTTTTGTTCTTAACTATACAAATATCTTTGTCTTTAATGTATAAGTTGCAAAAATACATAATAGATTAGATAAACATAGTTTATGCTTCAAACAAAATCTTCCATATAAAAACTTTGGACTTAACTTTCTGGGACATCCCATACTCGTACAAAGAAGTGACCATAAGCAAAAATGCTTGTTTTCAGGTATAGAATAACATACTGCAGTTTTAAAAAAATCGACCGATCACCAGGATTCTATTATTTAGTGCCATGTCCTTTCACCATCCAGGGATACAATATGAGTGAAGAACTCAAATAATTGTGCAAATGAGTACCTAACTTTACAAACCTTTTAAAAAAAATATGTTTATTTTTAATGATTTAGCAGTTAGTCTCAAACAAAACTCAATAAACAATTCTTTGAAGGGGGTGTGACCCAAAAAAAACCCAAGTGCAAAAAAATCTAAGAACAAATATTTAAACCGCATCTTGCGTTTAAAGTGACGAACGTCTAGGCTGTAACATCACACCGGCTTCGGAGGCACAGTTAAAACACGTGTAAAATTTTCCAAAACAAAAGTCAACGATCTCACTTAGAGCAAAGGGATTTTCTCGGATACTATTTTGAATATAAGACTACGGTTTACACGAGAGATCTTAGATTTTTTTTCTACATTTGAGTAGTCTAAGTTGTTTTTTTGGGTCACATCCCCTTTTAGTTACCCATATACTAAAAAATCAATATACAAATCCTATTTATAGTTACTGCATCCTCCACTTCTACCGCCGCATCTGCCATGTTATTGACTCTGTAATACAACTTTTATCAAACGAAAATTAAACACTGGCCTACAAATTACTTTTGATAAATATTCACGAAGGCCAGTAACCATGTTCAAAAGCTGGGAGCCAAGTGTACGTTGAGCTCCCAACATTTGACGTTCCACTTCCAGTGTCTTCTGTTCGATTTTCAGCTTTTTTTTGGCAATTTCTAGTTTTTCCTTTTCAACTTTTAATAGCTCCTTGAGCAAATTTGGAACCTCTACAACAAATATTGCTAATTAAAAGCCTAAAACAAAAAAGCAATAATTCACTATACTATTACCGTCATTATTATTGGCTCCACTAATTTTGCGGAAAGGCGTGTTGCTTTTCTTGTTACTCATTGTGGCTTTTTGTAGTTTAGGAGCAGGCGTCATCACTAGCTTGGTGGTTGGATTTGCAAACAAATTTTTTGCTATTTGTATCCTGGGCATCGACAAAGGTTGAGTTGATGTAGTTGATACCACTGGTTCATTGGCGATTTTGGGAGCTATTTCAATCGAGGGGACTATAATTTTGTCTTCGTCCATGGGGACGATGGTTGACGGCATGGGCATGAGCTCGGGTTCCTCGCATTCGATTTTCATACTGGAATAGTACCGTTGTGAAATACGAAAATTATTGGAATGTTTTCGAAACATTCAATTGATTATCAAATTTGGAACAACTAATTTAATAATTGAGTTATTATTTCAAGAGTTATGGTTTCGTTCTTTTTAATAGATTTAAGGGGTTTTGTACCCTTTGGGAATGCTAGAGCTCCTTGAGAAGCTTAATTAGTGAATAAACGGATTCTTCTCGATACGCGGCGTGCCCTTGAGACAAATGTAGTGTGCTTACTGTAGCAGCCCGTGGTACGCTTACCTGATTTTTTCACGGTAGAATTTGATCTTGCTCTATGTCGCTTATCAAAATTCAATGTTTGAACTTCTTTTTCGTTGTTTCTGACTTCCTTGAAGTCGTTTATGTAGTTCCACTTAGGGATAAATCTGTCTTTATTAGCTGGAATTGAATTCCTAGGTTTTGTTCCCATGATCAGTTCTGCTGGTGAAAATTCACTCTCTAGTTTTGCTGTTCCATAACTTAACAGTCCTAAGTTTCGGTCTTTGCACTTTAGAATTATATTCTTGGCTATTTTCACAGCGAATTCCGCCTGCCCATTTGATTGAGGATACCTAGGACTGCTTGTGATATGATTGAATGCATATATCTGAGCAAATTGTTTGAATATGTGGCTAGGAAAACAAGGCCCATTATCTGATCTAATGGTCAGTTACAGCAGTTTCTGAATTAACGTTTGCAACCTCTATAAATCTTGAAAAATAATCGAGTGCCAACATCAGATAATGTTTGTTGTTGGCCACGAATAAATCAACTCCGACGATCTGCCAGGGTTAATCTGGCACAAGGGAAGGAATCATTGGTTCAATTGTTGTATTCCGGTATTGAATGCATGTTAAGCAATTAGTTGAAATTTCTTCTATTTGTTTTGAGATTTTGGGCCACCACACCATTTAATTGGCTAGACTTAAACATTTCGTCATGCCCAAATGACCCTCGCGTATTTTGTCCAATATTTCCTTGCGTAATGTTGTCAGGATGAATACTCTGTTGTTGCGGGTTACTAAGCTAGGTATCCAATATAACCATATCTCCTTCATATTGGTAGAAAATTTTATCTTCAGTTGGTAAATCCAACCATTTTGTATATAAGTTATTATTCTTTTGGTTTGGACATCATTCTTCTGACATACAAAGATACTTTTTATGCGCAGAACTTGATAGGCATTGATTCACGAATATGATTTGCAAAATCTTCCACTTTTTCTATGAGTTCGCTGACGAATAAAATATCTGCTCCATGATCACTGGATTTTAGTGCAGCTCTGGATAATACGTCAGGCATTATCATGTTTCTGCCAGGTATATACTGTACATCATACGAAAATCGCATCAATCTCATTCGCAATCTTTGGATTCTAGCTGATAGATCAGCTGATTGAATAAAGAATGAAGGCTTTCACGGCCGGTCAAATCTAGTAAAAAAGTTTTTTCCGGGCTATAATGCCGTGGTCCATTAGTATTTCTACCTAACGTTTCGTCTACTGCTGCGGTAGACATCCTCAGAGGCGGTGTGGTAGAGGACGAAGTGTTCTCTTCCGTGTTTCTTCGATGACTGGATTCGACGAAGTTGGGCCTGCGTTATTTATATCCAGGGTTGTGGGCGTGGTTTGTATTGGGCTATTTTCCTTGTCTCGTTCTTGGAAAGAGAGGATCTTTGTTTTTCGGAGAACTGGCAACCAGCTTTTGTTGAGGTTCATACCCTCTTCTTTTCTGTTGAAGTTGTTGTGGTGTTTCTGTATCTCTATGGCTTCTCTGTGGAGTCTGGTGTAAAAATGTTTGGTTCTATCCAATGCTTGAGTCTGGTCGAAACGAATGACATGGTTTGTTTGTGTAAGCACCTGTTCGGCGATTGCTGATCTATCTTTTTGTCCCTGCTGACAGTTTCTTTTGTGCTCTTTTACCCTGGTGTTGATAGAGCTTTTGGTTGTTCCTACATAGACAGATCAACCAGAGCAGGGAATTCTATAGACGCCAGCCGTTTCAAGAGGTGCCCTAGGATCCTTGGCTGTAAGCGTCGGCTTCCAATATACTCTGTGTCTCAGTTTACCTTAGGGTAATCTTTCTAAGAGGACGCCGAGGAATGCAATTTTGTTGTCATTCTCAACTTCCATCGTAAACTGTATCCTGGGTTCTATTGAGTTTAGATGATTAAGGAAGTTTTCGAGCTCTGCCTCTCCATGGTTCCAAACAACAAATGTGTCATCTAATGTTTGCCCAGCGACTCTGTGTCTACGGGGCAACGGTGCGGGGAATGCAGTTGTAAAAAAAAATGGCTGATTTCATTCATAAAGTAACCAGCTGCGTGCGAAAGTTTTTGGAAGTGTTGTCATATTGCAACTCGTATACGAAAATCGACAATGACCAAACCTCCGCCACTGGATATTTCAATATAAATCGATATTCCAAGATGGGAGGATAAAATGACGTAAGCCCTGGCCAATAGCGAGACGTAAGGTGACATTAGCTCATTGACAACCGTATGGTTCCCCATGGCAACGGCGATCCTGCCAAAAACTCCACCAATCAGGTTCATCCAGTCCGGATGTTTGCCAAATAGTCAAAAGCTGATGGTATCTTTAGAAAATGTTTATTTTTTACAATAGACCAAATTGAAGAAATCAGGATTAAAATAAGTATTGATCTAACAACCACGTTAAAATATTTAACGTTTTATTATTGTTATCAATATTTTGTTATTAAAAAATGGATTTTCAAATGAATTATACTTCATGCCTAGTATTTTCGCTTTTTTATAATTAAACGTGACAACATGGCACATTTATGTCCGAATGCCTTCCGTAGACTCAGATCCGCTGGGCAAACAATACATAGCGAAACCAACAAGTAGGTTTCCTTGTGGCCGTTCGCAGTGCCATTTGTTCGAAGTGTTCCATGTAGAACCAAAAATTTTTACACCAGACTCCACAGAGAAGCCATAGAGATACAGAAACTCCACAACAACTTCAACAGAAAAGAAGAGGGTATGAACCTCAAGAAAAGCTGGTTGCCAGTTCTCCGAAAAACAAAGATCCTTCCTTTCCGAGAACGAGACAAGGAAAATAGCCCAATATAAGCCACGCCCACAACCCTGGATATAAATAACGCAGGCCCAACAACGTCGAATCCAGTCATCAGAGAAACACGGAAGAGAACACTTCGTCCTCTACCACACCGCCTCTGAAGATGTCTACCGCAGCAGTAGACGAAACGTTAGGTAGAAATACTAATGGACCACTACATTATAGCCCGGAAAAAACTTTTTTACTAGATCAGCTAATTGTTTGCTTCCTAAAAGTTCCACTAGGGGTTTGTGGCTAGTCAGGAGCATAAATGTTTGACCAAGAAGGTATTGGGCAAATTTTTCGCAGGCCCAAGTCAAAGACAATGTTTCTCGCTCTATCTGCGCATATCGTTTCTCTGTGTCGGACATTGTCCTGGATGCATAGGCGATAGGTTTCCAGACATCTTTATCCATTTGTTCCAGGACTGCTCCTAATCCATATGAACTGGCCAGATAAATTCGTTGTTTTTTCGTAACAGTTGTCTAATGGACAGTTCCGCTAATCCTGGAAGGAATTTAGTGTTAACCTGTACGCAGCCCATCAGTCTTCTAACTCCGCTTATATCGTTGGGGGGTTGCATGTCTAAAATGGCTCGAATTTTCTCTTTATCGATTTCAATTCCTGAATCTAAAACGCTATGGCCTAGAAATGTAACTTTTTTCTTGCCAAATTCGCATTTGTTTCTATTTAGGTTTATATTTTTTTCTTGGAAACGTGTTAGCACGGCGTTCTAACAAGAGTCGCGTTCATCCGTATTCTTCCAAATACTAATGTGTCATCTGCTACATTGACTATTCCCTTTAGTCCTTCCAAAATCTCTAACATTTGTCTTTGAAACCTTTCTGTTGCCGAAGTGATTCTCATCGGCAAGCATTGGCGTTATAAATGTTGTTATCAGTTGCGATTCTTTATCAAGTGGAATGTGATAGAATCAAGATGTGATGTCTAGCTTGCTAAAATACTGAGAGCCTACCTGAATTTGGGATAATGCTTCTTCAACATCCGTTAATACTAATCTTTCTCATTCTACATTAATATTGAGAACTGTATAGTATACGCATGTTCTGACAGTGCCATGCTTTTTGGGCACTACCACCATTGGTGCAAACCAAGGGGTTGGCTCTTTAACCTTGTAGATTATTGATCGGCTGTCTCAGATGTTCAAATGTTCTTTCGTAGTTTCTCGCAAATGGATAGGAATTCTACGTGGCGCGGAAATTGCAAACGGCTTCGTTCCTTCTTTTAAAGTAATGTGATACGTTTCTCCTACATCTCCGATGCCTTTGGATAGGGTTGCAAACTCCTTACTGATAGCATTCGTGTCAGAGATCGCATTTGCCCAAGCTAACATCTTCAGTGATTCTACAGCGTCACTTCCTAGTAAATTTTCATGCAAATTATTTGCAATATAAACACGGCCTACGTAACATTGATTTTGCCACGCTATGAACGGTTCAAAGGTGCCTAAAACCTCAATTTTATTTCCAGAGGCAGATTCTGGAAATCGACAAGTTTGATATTTTTCAAATTTGATAAACTGTCGCTTTTTATTACGGTCACATCCGCTCCAGTGTCACTTTTGACTTTTTCTGGAATGCCATCCATGGAAATCACGGTATGCCATGGACCACCACTCCTACCAGCTTCTCCAAGCCTAGAAAAGCGAATTCGTCATCGCTCAGGGGTGGGGGGGAGGAGGAGCAAATCCTGATCATCATTTATTCTTCGCCGGTTCTGATCGCGTCTGGAGCCTCTTTCACTTCTTGAACTGCTACACTTTACCGCCCATTGTCCTGTTTCTCCGTACCTGTTGCATTCATCCTTTCTTGCAAGACAAGAATGTGTACCTTGGAGTTCTCCCACATTTTCGGCAATCTTTTGTCTCTGTATTTGATTTTGGGTTTTTCTCATAATTTGAGTTACCCTCACTGAATTATTTTGGGCGCGCCCCCCTCTAAACGTAGTCAATTTCCAGCTTTTCTTCGACAATTGGATTGGATTGGAAGTAGGAAGATTGGCTCTCATTGTTGCTTGTGCAATGTTTCGTTCAATCTGGCACGCCTTACCAGATCTTCCAAGGTATTATCTGGGCGTGCTTGTAGCTGTACTGATAATTTATTATCCGCTAACCTTTCTATTATTCTTAATTTAATCATTTCTTTCTCTAAATTGTCCCATTCACAATTTTGGGCCATAGAGGTGAGATCTGTAATAAAAAAGTCACAAGGCTCGTCTGGATTCTGTAACCTTTGCAAAAATTTCATCCTCTGGTATACAAAATTTTTCTTTTGGATAAAATAACTGTCAAAATTTGATATTACAGTGTTGAAATCTGCTTGTTGTGTTTGTGTTAAATGAAATGATTTTAAGATTTTCTCAGCTTTTGCAGCCTAACAAACTGATGAGATAGTCAACTTGCTGTTCTGATGAATGATTACTAAGGACTGTTCTTTGGTATCTATTAAATGAATTTTTCCAGTGTTCCCAGGCCTCAGCTTGAAAAGAAAAGGGAGTTGGAGGGAGAATTGTGGCCTGATGCATAATCACCGATGCCGAAGCTGTGTTTCTTGCATTTAGTAATTGCTGCTGCTGCTGCAATGTTAATAACTGATTTATTAAGTCTTGTTGCTGATTACATTCGTCCGCACTCAATCTAATAACCTTTTCCTGTTGTGAAGATAAGACAAAATCAACAAAACAATCCAAAAAGTATACTTTCTTTAAAAGAAATTTTTTTTTTTATAGTCTACCGATGTTGTAGTGGGTCTGGCAACATTGAAGCTACCGTCCCGTCGCATTCACCCGAAACACAAACACCTGGCTGGGTTCTGCGTTTTGCATGCCGCCAAGGTCCTCACCGTTTTCACACAAAAAATCCGCACTATACCCAGTGGGAGCATTTCACTAAAGTGGCTAGAGTCGATAGGTCACTAATCGAATAGAAATGTACCATTTTTACCGGTACTTTTCGCCCGAAACACGAAAAAAATAACCTCTGTCACCATGTAGCAGCCTGCGGTACGCTTACCTGATATCAACTGCTGGGCCCTGCGCCGAGGGCTGCTATACCGACTCTCGAGCGGCGTTGCCGGCTCAAGGGACTCTATGCCTTACTTAGAAGGTCGAAAATACTCGAGAAAATACAAAATCACATCGAAACTAGAACTATCACAACACTTGGTTTAACTACAAACAAGTTTAAGTAAGTAGTCACGAAACTGAATCACAATTCACCTTATTACTATCTACTCGCATTCCATCTACCGTTATCCGATTAATAACTTATTCTGTCAGTGATTTTTGACACAGTGCCGTTCAATTTACCACTGACTCTCCCTTTTTGAAGTGATAACTTGTTCAGCACGTGATTTTGAACGAATAACTGCCACTAAAAAGAACGAATATATAGATCTATAGGATATAGCCTGCGAGAGAATGAACACAGTTATACAGTGTTTCGCAGATCTTCGTGTCCTTTTTATGAGAGACTTCCCTACTCATTACTGTAGTTGCCCTCTCAGTTTAGTTTTATTAAGGTTTCACTTCAACCGCGTGTGAACTGCGCACGTTTTTTTTTTAAGGACGTCATCGCCTCTAGAAATGTCAAGATAATTTTAATCTTCGTCGTAATTATTCATAACTGTTGGAATCCTCATCTGGAAATAATAGAGTAGTTTCAGAGTAATTTCCACCTCCTCTATCGATTGATTAAGTAAAAATAGAGAAAAGTCAAAGAACAAAAAAATTCAGTGTTTGGTACTTTGGAATATTGATTTCAATATCGCGTTTGCGGTAACCATAATCATTAAGTCAATCAAGGAAAATCGCATGACTCGTAACTCCTAAAACTTTAACTCAATTTTCTCGATCTCGAAACAAGTCAGTAATCAGCATTGACTTACCAATCACTAATCGAACTACAATCATCTCCATCATCAGTGGTAGCATCGATATCCTCGATTTTTCCAATCATATTCTCAATCAATAAATTATCTTCACAAGCCAAACTTTGCCTCGAACCGTTCTTCTCACTGAAAATATCATCCATCTCCTTGTAATAGGGCCAATCTAGGTCAGCCGTGCCGATTTCGTGTCCTGACAAATTCTTTTTAATTCTTCGATAACGAAACTTCAAATTTCGAATTTTCGTTTTAAGTTCTTCCGGAGTGCGAAAAAATCCGTATCTTTGCAGGTGGTTAGCGATCAGCCTCATTACCGGGGCCTGGCGTTCGTTCGTCTGAACGTGGCAGCGTCTCCACAGCTCGATCAGCAATTTGGTTTCACGTTCCCCGAAATTCTTCGAGCGTTTCATTTTCTGTCGAGCAATTCTGAAATCCATCTTGATAAGGCCTGAAAAATTGCCTGATTAAGGGTGGCCAAAATGCACACAGTGTTTTATGTGAGTAGAGCAGTTGTCTGCTAAGTTTTCGCTAAGTTTGTAAAAGTCCGGGAAAGAACTGGAAATATTTATCGAATACCTATTATACCTGTAGAGGAAATTTTACATGCAAAATAAGAGGAGTTTTTTTCTCTCTGACCGACTAACACGTCACCTCTGTGAACTCTAAACAGTGCCCAAAAATTCTTGATTTCAGGCTTAATTTATAAACTCGCCGTCGGGATTCCGTTTGCGTCTGCGTTTACGTCGGCCTCGCTGGTTATCGAAGTCTCTATGCTGCTGGCGAAATGTGGAACATACGGCGAGTATAAACGATCTTATGGGATTTCTAATATTCACTTGGTAACGGCGTGCTCGACGCAAACGCAAACGCTAACGGAATCTCGACGGTGAATTTATAAATTAGGCTTGAGTAATAATAATTGAATAAATTCACTAGATTGTAGATGGTCCAGTTTTCTTGGTAACAAATAATTTATTGTTCGTGTCTTGTTCACAGTATTTATTGATAGTCAAAAATAATGTTGGCAAAGGCTTAAGAGTTAGTATATAAGGGAGAGTGGGGAAATTATGCGCATCAAACTATTTCATTTTCAGAACAGCAAAGAACGAATGGCTTAAACATGAATGCTCAGAGATAGAGCAGCTGCAAAATCAACATGATGTATTCAACCTGCACAAAAAAAATGAAGGAGCCTGCCGGTATATATAAAAAAATGAGACCAACTATAATAGTAAATAATAACAATCAGATAGTCCTCGACAGCAGAGAGAGGAACAATGTTTGGGAAAGGTATATTGAAGAACTTTTTGACGACGACAGACCTGCAGCTGGTATCAATAACTCCCTAACCGGCTCATCGATCACTAAGGACGGGATTGAAAGTGCCCTACGTAATTCAAAAAATAACAAAGCGGCTGGCCCAGATGAAATCCCTTCAGAAATACTTAAACTCCTAGATGAGAGAGGCATCACAGCACTACATAAATTATTCAACTCTACTTATGAGACAGGTCACTATCCCAAACAGTGGTGGCGCTCTACTTTAATACCTCTGCCTAAGATCAATGCAAGAAAATGTGAAGATCATAGATTTATTAGCCCAATGAGCCATACTTTAAAAAAAAATCCCAAAATCATACACCAGAGAATCTACAAGAAATGTGAAAGAGACATAAGCGACTTGCAATTTGGGTTAAGACAGGGGTTAGGTACACGAGAAGCGATATTCGCAACACAAGTGCTTGTCCAAAACTGCTACGATCACAGAAAGGATGTGTGCCTATGTTTCATAGATTACGAAAAGGCATTCGATCGCGTACAACACCACAAATTTATTCAGCTCCTCAATAAGCTTGATATAGACCAGAAAGACATTAGATGCATTGAAAACCTATACTGTAACCAAACCGCGCAAATCAAATTAGGCAATAATATGTCCAACACCATACAGAGTAGAAGAGGAGTGCGACAGGGATGTGTGATGTCTCCGCTCCTGTTCAACTTATATTCGGAAGCAATTTTCCAGGAGGCTTTGGAAGATGTGGAAATGGGAGTCAAAGTTAATGGAGTGTGGATTAACAATATCCGCTATGCTGACGATACGGTCCTAATTGCTGATACCATACACGACCAACAACAACTAGTCAACAAGGTAGGAGAACACAGTGAATCAATGGGCTTAAATATCAACACCAAAAAAACAAAGTTTATGATTATCTCTAGTAACCCAAATATGTTTGAAAACTCCATCATAACCTTTAACGCAAGGCCCATAGAGAGAGTAGATAAGTTTAAGTACTTGGGCGTCTGGGTCTTTGAAGACTGGACATCAGACAAGGCAATAAAATGTCGCATTGAACAAGCTCGACAGGCATTCTTGAGGTTTCGAAGAGTGCTTACCTGTTCCGATTTTGAAATTAACCTAAGACTCAGATTCATTAAATGCTACGTTTGGTCAGTGCTTCTTCACGGTATGGAAGGTTGAACATTAAAGGTGACTGCAAATAATAAATTAGAGACTTTCGAAATGTTACTGTATCGCAGAATCCTTAAGATACCTTGGACGGCTAGACTAACACCGAAGAAGTCCTGACACGTGTCAACAAACAACGTGAACTGTTTGAATTGGTTAAAAAGAGAAAAACGGCATATCTGGGACAATGCGAAACACGAAATACCAATTCTTGCACCTGTAGATCGAAGGCCGGAGAGGTATCGGAAGAAAGAAAATACCTTGGCTGCGAAATATCAGACAGTGGACAGGGCTACATGATGTGTAGTCATTAATACACACCGCAAGGAATAGAGAAGCAATGGAAAATGTTATTGCAAATATCCATTAGTGGATACGCATTGGAAGAAGAAGAAACTATTTCATACTTCGTAAGCTTTTAAGTTCCTTCGACCAGTGCGGCACACTGCTGTGCCTCGCTGATGCCATTACTCTTATCAGTTGTACACGTTTGCTCGGAACGAGCACTGTTTATTTGAAATTAGGTAATTTTTTGTAATTTTTTGATAACGCAAAATAGGACGGTGAGTCAATTTTGTTCTCCAGCTTGAGAAGATAGATTTATTTTATGGAAAAGTATGATATTGTGCATCTATTGATGCTTGATTTACATTATTAGGTTAAGTAGTTTGCTACCCCCTTACAAGATCTAATTTCATGTATTTATTTTATCTCTAGAACCCTAAACCAAGCAGCAGAAGCGTACACAGAAAGAAAAACTGAAAAGCAAAATAAACTAAGCGCGCAAACACTAAACATGCTAGATAAAAGACGACAACTTATAACAAATAACAAAAGATCATCAGCAGAATTCGCCGAAGCAAATAAAATCGCCAGAAAGATGGCAAAGGAGGACATCAGAAAACACAATGAGCAAATCGCGCAGAAAGTACTGGAACAACACAAAGTTTTCAGAAGACTAACGATGAACACAAAGAAAGAAATTGTCAGAATCAAAGACAAAACAAGACAAAGAATCGAGGAAACACACGAAATTATAAGAACGGTACAAGAATTCTATGCAGACCTATACGAGACGTAAGTAACTAGCGCCCAATCCGAACAAGACCAGGAAGTGAAAGTCATGAACCTCAACTCTGAAGACATACCTGAGATTACAAAAAAAGAAATCAGGCTAGCATTACATCATATGAAAAATGGGAAAGCAGCAGGCGAAGATGGCATATTAACGGAGATGTTAAAGCAAGGCGGAGATATACTAGAGGACCAACTAGAAATGCTGTTCAACAAATGCCTGGAAAAGGAGGACATACCACAGGACTGGACAAACGCCCTCGTGACAATCATTCACAAAAAGGGAGACACCGAGAACCTAGAAAATTACAGACCGATCAGCCTGCTACCCCATCAAATATATAAATTATTCTCGAAAATAATAACCAACCGTCTCACACCAAAGTTAGACTAATACCAGCCAAAAGAGTAGGCTGGGTTTAGGAAGGGTTACAGTACTACAGAACACCTGCAAACGATCAGAACACTAATCGAGAAGACGGAGGAATAAAATATACCTTTATGGCTAGCATTCATTGATTTTAGAAAGGCTTTCGACACGGTGGAAATATGGGCACTACAGCAAGCCCTGAAACACGCCAGAATAGACCAACACAAATACAAATCCAGCTACACGAAAAGTCCGACAAAGTTGCAATTAAAAGGGGAGTGCGCCAAGGAGACCCTATGTCACCCAAGCTCTTCACACTAGTTCTGGAAGACGCACTAAAAACAATCGACCTCCAAAACAGAGGCATTAATATCAATGGGGAAAGACTCAACCACCTCATGTTTGCCGACGACGACATAGTAGTGATAGCCGGAAGTAGAGAAGAACTAGCCACATTTATCGACGACATCTACAGGGCCACGAAGCGCATAGGCCTAGAAATCAACTTTGACAAAACGAAGTACATGACATCAAACGTAGAGGACGAACGAGAAATTGCCCTAGGAGACAACAGAATCGAAAAAGTAACTACATACAAATACCTAGGACAAACACTAACTACTGGCAAGGCTAACCAAGAACTCGAAATAAACGAGAGAATACTGCAAACCTGGGCGGCATATGCCAAAATAAAAGACATCTTGAATATGGACATACCCCTAAACATCAAAACCGAATTATACAATCAGTGTATCCTACCAGTAACGACTGACGGGTCACAAACTTGACCTTTACGAGAGCTATACTTGACAAACTTAAAGTAAACCAGAGAGCTATTGAGAGGAGAATACTTGGGATATCATTAAGGGATAGGAAAACAAATGAATGGATCTGGAGAAAAACAAAGGTGCACGATGTCGTACAACGCGACGCCGCCCAGAAATGGGACTAGGCAGGCCACGTCGCAAGAGACCAGGATAAGTGGCGTGGTAAACTAATTCGATAGAGACCATGGAGCAACAGAAGGAGCACAGGAAGACCGCAAATGAGATGGAGCGACGATTTGAAACGAGTGGCAGGACTGAACTGGTACCAGGTGGCACAAAACCGCGACAACTGGCAAAATAAGAGGGAGGCTTATACCCGAAGGGTGGAAAATAGCTAAAAAAAAAATAAAAATTATCTCAGATGCCGAAATCGTAATCCTCTCATATACGGCAGGAGATTTACAGAACGCGTTATTTACGATAAAAAATCATGGCAGAAAAATGAGGAAAACAGGAAGGGCCTTCAACCCTCAATATTCCTGAATCCACAAATGTCAGAAAATGAACCTAAACCACCTCGTTTGGGTTGCGTTAGAAACCTGTGTTTTCAGAACAAATCGAACTTGAGTTAAGAGAGTAATACCTTTCAGCGCTAGCAAAGCCTTTTTATGGCCCAACACGTGTCTTAGACGACTAGCTTTTAGGTAGGTATGCAGTGGCTGATCC